AGATTCGCATCTAAGGGTACAATTTCAAATACTAAACTGAGAACTCCAATGGTAAAACATTGGCTGTTTTGAAAAACAGCCCGCTGTTTCAAAACCTTGGCGGCTCCCAAAAGGGCCAAAACAGTCCATGCTGTTTATTTACAAACGGCTAAAGTGATGTTGATGCAGGTAGGGATGGCAATTTTACGAGAATTTTCAGGTAACCGATCCATCCTGACTCACCCTAATAGACCCGTTTATCAAAATTCTATAGAGTTTGGGACGGATTTGAGATTTTAGATAAATACCCTATTAGGTTTGAGACGGATTTGGATTTTAACTTTAGGATATCCAATACTTGATACCCGAAATGCATAAATATGAATCTATTATATTACATGTTATGCATAAATTTATAAAATTTAAATATTAAGATAATTATTCTATTATTAATATTTTATTTGTATAAATTTCTTGGGTTTAAAATCATCATTTGATGTAAATTTGGATTTGATAGATTATTTATTTCGTTTAGTTATAAAATACTAATTTTAAATATTATTCCTTTTAATTTTTAGTTAGAATTGTTAATCATATACATGTATTGATTGTTTTGATGAACACAAAAGTTAATAAAATCTATTTTATTTCATTAAATAACACAAAAGGTGAAATGACTTAGTGGCTTATAGTGTTAAGCAATTTTGTGCTATCATAGGCGGGTTCGGGAATGGATAGGGCAATTTGCATAGGTACCCTACTTGTTGCCATTCCTAGATGCAACATTTTACAAGCCTCTAGTGATGCGAAAGACGAAAGTTTCTAATTTGAACAGTAGGAACTAGCTAGAAGACTAATTGGTTCAGTTCGGTTCAGGTCGGTTTCGATTTTCACACAAGAAAACCAAAACCAACCCAATATATTGGTTTATGAATTTGCCCAACCCGAAACCGACCGGTGCTAATGAAAACCTGGCCGACTTGGGTTGGGTCGGTCCAGGTTGGTCGGTTTGGTCGGGTTGGGCCTTCGTATGAACAGCCCTAGTTGAGGTCAATCCTACATAAGGCTGTCAATGGATCAGGTTGGATCCGAACCAATTAGGTCGATTCTAGTTTTTTAATATATTATCTCGATTTTTATTGGTTTAGAACCAGTTCCACCAACGATACAGACCCAACCTGAGTTATATATATTAAATAAATTAATATTATATAATATTTTTAGTAAATTTATTATAATCGGGTCCATCAGGTCAAACACGATTATCCTGAAAACCTATCAACTCAGTTCTGGGTCTAAAATTATAGATCCAATTGGGTCCAATCAGTTCCAAGTCCTTAATATTTATTGTCAGGTTGACTCTAGTTCTATCCAAACCCGATCATTGACACTTGTTTACTTGTATCCTACCCAACCCAAGGTTACAAATAGTATTTGATTCTTCAAATTCCAAATTCGATTCCATCAAGGATAATTTGAATCCAAATCCATTTATATTTGAATAAAATATGGATCCACTCTATTCAATCTCATATGATTAAGCTCAGTTTGGAAGGAGTATAATACAAATATGTAGAGTGCAATTTCTTACATTTAGTATTATTTTGTATGTATTTTACTGTTTATATTTGTATTTGTACTCCTCCCAAACTGAGCCCTAGATTCAATTTGATTTAAATATATTTGTTCATATATACTCAAAATCTATATTATTGATGAAGGGAAATTTGGCCCGACCTCGCGATCACCCGACACGTGGCAAAGGCAAGCAGCTCGGGACAGTAGAGCACCCAAAGTGAACATCGGAAGCAAGTCCAAACTCACTACCGAGCCCAAACTCCAGACCGCTGCACTTAGTCCGAGCTCCTTGTTAAGAGTGAACTCCCTGTTAAAGGTCCGAGCTCCCTAAAACCCGAGCTCCCTAAGTCCTAGCTCGGTACTAGGAGCCCGAGCTCCCTAAATCCGAGCTCCCTACTAGGAGCCCGAGCTCCCTGATTAAGAGAGCGAGCTCCCTATCAAAGGTCCGAGCTCCCTAAAACCTGAGCTTCCTAAATCCGAGCTCCCTACTAGGAGCCCGAGCTCCCT